ACTTTTCTCTTATGGTAAGAACATGGAGAGATACTATAGTCAAACTGGGACAGATGGTGGACGCTTCCCGCCGCTGCCTCTGCCACCATATTGTGGCCTGTTTTATTTGATCTAGAGTATATATCATGTTTGTGTTAATTATATTGTTTATTATGTCATATTAGATAAATTGTGATAGATAAATAAGCCGTACAGTTGATAATAGTGTAATATTCAAGTATTTTTTCTCGTCTCTCCAGAGTCCAGGAACGAATTAATGGTTTTTCAATTAATTTAAATGAGGAAAATTAATTTGATATATGAGTAAATTGAATTACGAGCTAGCTCCTGGAACGAATTAAACTTGTAACTCAAGGCTCCACTGTACTTGCAACATTTCATATTTCTTGCCTATCCACCCTATGATATGCCTTTGCTAAACCCATGAAAGCAACAAAAACTTTTTTTTTTTTTTTTATTATCACACTGGCGATTCCCACCAAGGCAGGGTGGCCCGAAAAAGAAAAACTTTCACCATCATTCACTCCATCACTGTCTTGCCAGAAGGGTGCTTTACACTACAGTTTTTAAACTGCAACATTAACACCCCTCCTTCAGAGTGCAGGCACTGTACTTCCCATCTCCAGGACTAAAGTCCGGCCTGCCAGTTTCCCTGAACCCCTTCATAAATGTTACTTTGCTCACACTCCAACAGCACGTCAAGTATTAAAAACCATTTGTCTCCATTCACTCCTATCAAACACGCTCACGCATGCCTGCTGGAAGTCCAAGCCCCTCGCACACAAAACCTCCTTTACCCCCTCCCTCCAACCTTTCCTAGGCCGACCCCTACCCCGCCTTCCTTCCACTACAGACTGATACACTCTTGAAGTCATTCTGTTTCGCTCCATTCTCTCTACATGTCCGAACCACCTCAACAACCCTTCCTCAGCCCTCTGGACAACAGTTTTGGTAATCCCGCACCTCCTCCTAACTTCCAAACTACGAATTCTCTGCATTATATTCACACCACACATTGCCCTCAGACATGACATCTCCACTGCCTCCAGCCTTCTCCTCACTGCAACATTCATCACCCATGCTTCACACCCATATAAGAGCGTTGGTAAAACTATACTCTCATACATTCCCTTCTTTGCCTCCAAGGACAAAGTTCTTTGTCTCCACAGACTCCTAAGTGCACCACTCACCCTTTTCCCCTCATCAATTCTATGATTCACCTCACTCTTTCATAGACCCATCCGCTGACACATCCACTCCCAAATATCTGAATACATTCACCTCCTCCATACTCTCTCCTTCCAATCTGATATCCAATCTTTCATCACCTAATCTTTTTGTTATCCTCATAACCTTACTCTTTCCTGTATTCACTTTTAATTTTCTTCTTTTGCATACCCTACCAAATTCATCCACCAATCTCTGCAACTTCTCTTCAGAATCTCCCAAGAGCACAGTGTCATCAGCAAAGAGCAACTGTGACAACTCCCACTTTGTGTGATTCTTTATCTTTTAACTCCATGCCTCTTGCCAAGACCCTCGCATTTACTTCTCTTACAACCCCATCTATAAATATATTAAACAACCACGGTGACATCACACATCCTTGTCTAAGGCCTACTTTTACTGGGAAATAATTTCCCTCTTTCCCATACTCTAACTTGAGCCTCACTATCCTCGTAAAAACTCTTCACTGCTTTCAGTAACCTACCTCCTATACCATACATCTGCCACATTGCCCCCATATCCACCCTGTCATACGCCTTTTCCAAATCCATAAATGCCACAAAGACCTCTTTAGCCTTATCTAAATACTGTTCACTTATATGTTTCACTGTAAACACCTGGTCCACACACCCCTACCTTTCCTAAAGCCTCCTTGTTCATCTGCTATCCTATTCTCCGTCTTACTTTTAATTCTTTCAATAATAACTCTACCATACACTTTACATTGTATGCTTCAATGTAGACGCTTAACGCATCCTCTAAGACGAAGAGCGATCCTGCTCTGTCTTGCTTCTAATTCTTTCAATAATAACCCTACCATACACTTTACCTGGTATATTCAGTAGACTTATTCCCCTATAATTTTTTACACTTGCCCCCCTTTCCTTTAAATAAAGGAACTATGCATGCTCTTTGCCAGATCCTAGGTACCTTCCCCTCTTGCATACGTTTATTATTTAAAAGCAATAACTACTCCAAAACCATATCCCCACCTGCTTTTATCATTTCTGTCTTGACTCCAGCTGCTTAACCCCCTTTCATTTTACCCACAGCCTTGTGCCCCTTCCCCACACACTCTTCAGGCTGTCCTCACTCCTAAAGGATAAAATGTTATACCTCCCTGGCCAGTTCATGAAATCACTGCCTCTCTTTCTTCTTCATCATTTATTATTTCATCAAAATATTCCCTCCATTTTCCCAATACCTCCAACTCTCCATGTAATAACTCCCCTATTCTGTTTTTAACTGTCAGTCTATTCATTCCCTAAGCTTTCTCAGCCTATTAACATCACTCCAAAAGTATTATTCTCAGCAAGATTTGTTGACAGAACCTTGCCCACTCTCATATGATCTAATTTTGCACTCCCTTACCAGTCTCTTAACCTCTCTTTTACTCTCCATATATGCCACCCTTGTTAAATCATATGCTAACCTTTTCTCCATTACCATTCCTTTTACTTCACATTCCACCACTTGCTCCTCTTCCTTCCCAAACCTACCCTCCTATATCCACAATCTACTATTTTTAAAACCACCTCTTACCTATACAGGTACAACACCGACTTTCCGAATACTGATGGTCCAGAACCTCTTATAATCCGTACAGATTTACAAGCAAGAACTTGAAATTCCCACAGCCACCAGACTAGTTTACTGGGTGGCCCACAGATGGTGTTGAGTGTAGCCATGGTCACTTGGATTGTTTAAACTGCACCTGCTGGTGGGGGACACCCTAATTCTCTGTTCCTTAGCTTATTTTGATTAAATTAACCCCAGCTATGGTTTCTAAGGGAGACGAGAAGGAGACTGGTGGTATCAAACGTAAACACTAGTCCATAGTGATTCAAGAGAAAGTTGAAATGTTGAGAAAACTGGACCATGGTGCTTCAGTGCATAAGATCTATGAAGATTATGGTCTCGGTAAATAAACTGATTAGTATGTTGACCAAGATGACCACCCCTAGTCCAGAAAAATCAGTACAGCTAGCCCTCCACTTTCGCAAGCTTCGAACATTTGTGAATGTCCAGCTCCCCAATCATATTTACCAAACAAATGCGGGAGAAAAGTACAGAAAAATTTTCATACCGTGTCCCTACTACCCTCTCTCTTACCCCCTCAGCCAGCAGTCTGCCACTCCTTCACTCATTCATTGTCCAGTTACGGTTCGTGTCCTACTGTACACACGTTTGTGTGGTGGTGCAAATATGGCCCCCAAGTCAGCTGCAACTGCTATTGATGAGCCAACCCCTAAGCACTCAAAGAAAGTCATGAATCTGGAGAAGGCGAAATTGCTAGACAAATGTAGGGCAGGTTATTTGAGCAATCCTGCCATTGGAAAATTATTGAATGTAAATGAAAGGACAGTGCGCTCTATCGAGAAAAATGAGGCGAAGATAAGGGCTGCACTAGCATCTACTGCTCCTCCCACAGCCAGGCAAGTGCCACAAGTAAGAGACAGTGCAATGTCTAAGATGGAATCAGCATTATTTGTGTGGATTTCAGACTAAAATAGAAAAGGAAATCCCATAGATAGCAATGAGATTCGTGCACAGAGAAAGACTTCTTATGATATGTTGGCTAGTGATGAGGCTAGCACCAGTGCAGAACCAGGATGTCCTACCAAGAAGAGGAGTGTGTTGCTGAGGCCAATCAACCTCAAGCCCTCACCCTTGAAAAACTAGGGCAAGCAATGAGAATGACATTGCAGCTCAGTTTGTTACGACATAGACCCATCGATATTGAGGGCTTTGAAGGTGATGAGCGACATTGATAGGAGCATAATTCCCTACAAAACTCTGTAGATATGAAGAGAAAATGGTCTCAGTTGCCCATCACAAAGGTCTTCACAAGGAAGCCTGCCACTTCTCATGCTGCTACCCCTACTGCCTCGCCTAAACCTCAACCCGTGGCAGAATCTGACTCCTTTACTAACTCTGACTCTAGTGGTGTGGGTAGTGACACTGGCAGTAGTTAGAATCCACACACTAGACTCATCATGCCAGGCAGTTACACTCCATATAATCACCTTCATTCAACTGTCATCAGTAACTGCATGGCTAACCATAATCACCATCATTGTCAGTCATCATCGTTACAAGTCGTTAGAATTCATTTGCCTAACCTTATGAGTGGTGAGTGTTTTGTCTGTTCATTATTTGTTATTAAATCATAACATGTATGTACAATATTTTAAGATTTTTTCATGTGTTTTATGATTGTTCATGGTTCAGTAGGTTAAGAAAGCAGTATTGTTAGGCTAAGTAAATGCTTTTATTATATTTCCCTACAATATATTTGTGCACCAAACATTCGCGAATTTTCAAGATTCACGAGGTTCTTGGTCCCCTAACCTTCACGAATGTGGAGGGCCTCCTGTAATCCAGAAAGGCTTTGGAACCAAAGGTTCCAGAAAATTTATGTTGTACCTGTATTCTCTCTAGCCCCTCTTCCAGTAATTGCTTATAACTTAAGTTTAATTACCTCCTCCTTTACTTTATAAACTTTCATCCCTTATTCACTGAGGCCATTTCAAGCACTTTTATATATCTGGTATCATGTGGAATTATATTGATAACAAGGACTTCATAGTTATATACTTGTGAAATGGCTTTTTGCAATATACCAATACATTGACAGTATTGAAAAGAAGTCATTTCTGGCAAAGGGAGACTGGTGCATGTTGATTAGTACTTAATATTTGTTAACCATCTTGAATGCTGATTTAAAGTTCACATTTGTGTAACATCCATTTTTTTTTTTTATACATATGAAGAGAATTCCGTGAAGCTCAATCAGGCGAGACGAAAATTGATGATGAGCAAATCAGCCAGCTGAGCATTGCACAGCGTTGTATTCTTGCCAGTAGACCAAATTATCAAGAGTACTTACAGGTACAGTAATGCATCTTAACTTCATCTTAAAAGCTTGTTTTGCATATTTAATTATTTAGCAAATGTCTTGAAAAAAAAACTGCTGCCAACAGTACCCATTTATACTTGCTGCAGCTATGTTAACTCTGCCCCTTAATATTTAATATATTTTTTCAAATTTCCAGTGGTTGGAGTATATAAACACTTAGTCCATTTCAAAACTTCCTTTACTCTTGGAAAAATATATGTATTGTTCCTATTGTGCTCCCTGTTTCTGGTTACAACAAATCTTCCATTTCTGATACTCATAATCTTTTAAAAATTGTTTTGCAATTTTTTGCCTTTTAACCCTTTGAGGGTTTCGGCCATACTAGTACGGCTTACGACCCAGGGTTTTTGACGTACTAGTACGCCTAAATTCTAGTGCCCTCAAATCTAGTGGGAGAAAGCTGGTAGGCCTACATATGAAAGAATGGGTCTATGTGGTCAGTGTTCACAGTATAAAAAAAATCCTGCAGCACACAGCGCATAGTGAGAAAAAAAACTTTGACCGTTTTTTGGAATAAAACAGCCACTTTGCACTGTATTTTTGTATGGTATTTATTGTTGTATTGTTGTTTTCTTGGTCACATTTTATAGAATGGAAGACATATTACAGAAATTGAGATGATTTTGACTGGTTTTACAATGAAAAGTACCTTGAAATTGAGCTCAAAGTAGCAGAAATGTTCGATTTTTACCAAAGTTCAAAAGTAAACAAATCATGCCAAGCGTCCAATGCACGTCAACTGGTGAGTCTAATATTCTTTCGCAAGTGCGCCAATATTATTTATACCATTTTTTACACTAATGCAGTAGTCTGAATAACAGTAAATCTATTTTTTGTGAGAATAAAAATTCAAAGTGGAAAGCAAAAGAATGTAGGAGGGGGCCTTGAGACGTGACTAATGAACAGAGGAAATGTCATTTTAGTGTCAGGAATGTTTTTCTTGTTTATTCTGGACCCTATTCGGAAATTGGCATCTTTTGAAATTTGTGTGAAATTGGCAAAATTGCTAAATTCTGACCACTGTATTGGATAGTTGAAATTGGTAAATGGGTGGTTTCTTGCACTCATTCGATAGAAAAAATGGAGTTCTAGCGAAATATTCATGTTTTTTGTCGACTAGTGCAGTGGAATTGGCCGAAAATGGGGCTCAAAGTGGGCAAAATCGCCGATGCGTAAACATCGCCGAGACCGCTAACTTCGCGAGAGCATAATTCCATAAGTTTTCCGTCAAATTTCATACTTTTGGTGTCATTATGATCTGGAAAAGATTCTTTATCTTTTCATAAGAAAAAATGATTTTTTTTTTTTTAAATTTGGCCGACCCTGAGAACGAGTCTTGGAGAGGGCCTGTCGACCCTCAAAGGGTTAAAGAGGATATTTCTAGAACTTTTATTGGTCATATTTTACTATTCCTCCATATTTTACATTCTCTCCATCAGTCTTACCTGAGGCACACTAACACTACAGTTACAACACTGCAACATTAATGCCCCTCCTTCTCAGTGCCGACACTGTACAGTGGTCCCTCAATTGTTGTCCATAATCCGCTCCTGGAAGTGGGACTATTATCGAAATAGACGACTTTTGAATCAATTTTCCCCATAAGAAATAATGTAAATACAATTAATCCGTTTCTGACACCCAGGAGGATTAAAACAAAAAATTATTTTACATGAAATATAAATGTAGTACATAAACAATACAATGGCACATGATGAATGAAACATTAACAGAATAACACTTACCTTTATTGGCGATTCTTCTTAGTGTATGGAAGACTGGAGGAGGAGAGAGATTGGATTATTTACTGTTTGGAAGGGGAATCCCCTTCCATCAACACCTCAGGTACCTAGTGCTTTTCTGGGGTTACTTCTCTTCTCTGTTTCTTAATGCCACTAAGATCAGCTTGAGTCACTGGAGTCCTGTCTCGCAAAAAAACTGTCCAGAAAGCTCTGTTTCTGGCGTCTCTTTAAAACTTCCCTAAAATGGGCCAAGACTCTGTCACTGTGCAAGTTGCCGATATGGCTTGCAACATCCTTCTCAGGGTGATGTTTCTCCATAAATCTTTCCATCCTACCCCACATTTCAAAAATATCCTTAATTTCTGAAGAAGGCACCTTCTTCCATCTCTCTTCCTCCTCTGCAGCAAGTTTCTGAGCTGTGATCTGTTGCTCTTCCTGCTGAAGCTCTTGCAGCTCCTTGGTGGTTAGCTCTTTGTTGTGGTCCTCCACCAACTCTTCCACATCCTCCAAACTCACATCCAACCCCATGGAACTCCCCAGTGCCACAATAGAGTTCACAACTGACATAGGCTCATCAGGGGCTGCCTCAAACCATTCAAAATCCCTCTTGTGGACACAATATGGCCACAATTTTCTCCAAGCAGAGTTCAAAGTCCTGGTAGTCACTCCCTCTCAAGCCTTAACTGTAAGGCTTTTGCAATGGAGAGTACTGAAGTGTTCGTTCCAAAAATCTCTTAGGGTCAAGTGAGTGTCTGAGGTCACATTAAAGCACCTTTCAAACATTGCTTTGGTGTAGAGTTTTTTAAAGTTTGAAATGACTTGCTGGTCCATGGGCTGGAGGAGAGGAGTGGTATTCGGGGCAAGAACTTTACTGCGATGAACCCAAACTCCTTCAGAATTAGGTCATCCAAGTTTGGAGGATGAGCAGGTGCATTGTCCATTACTAGGAGGCACTTGAGATCCAATTTCTTTTCCAGGAGGTAATTCTTCACTCTAGGGCCAAACACTTCATTGAACCACTCAACGAAAATGTCCCTTGTGACCCATGCCTTATTATTAGATCTCCAAAACACATACAATTTACTCTTCATAACATTGTTTTTCTTGAACACTCTGGGATTTTCAGAATGGTACACTAATAACGGCTTCACTTTGAAATCCCCTCTAGCATAAGCACAGAACATTAGCGTCAGCCTGTCTTTCATAGGCTTGTGTCCTGGCAGTGACTTTCCTTCCTGAGTAATGCAGGTCCTCTTTGGCATTTTCTTCCAAAAGAGGCCTGTTTCGTCACAATTGAACACTTGTTCAGGTTTCAGTCCTTCAGCCTCTGTGTACTCATTGAATTCCTGCACATATTTTTCGGCCTTTTTTTGATTCGAACTGGCAGCCTCACCATGCCTTTTCACACTGTGTATTCCAGTATGCTTCTTAAATCTCTCAAACCAGCCTTTGCTGGCCTTAAATTCACTCACATCACCACTAGTTGCAGTCAGTTTCTTTACCAAATCGTCATGCAGCTGCCTAGCCTTTTCACAAATAAGCGACGTCATAAGACTATCTCCTGCTAATTGTTTCTTGTTTATCCACACCAATAATAACTTCTCAACATCTTCGAGTACTGGTGATCTCATTTTTGTCAGCATATTTACCCCCTTTGCAACAACAGCTTCCTTGATTTCCTTTTTCTTGGCTATGATGGAAGATATGGTTGTACCGGATTTGTTATACTTCCTGGCCAGTTCGCCCACACGTACGCCACTTTCATATTATTCAATGATGTTTTTCTTAAATTCAGTCGTATTTCTCACCTTCTTTACCAAAGGCTTGGCACTAGGAGCTTTCTTTGGAGCCATGGTAGCTTATTTAGCACTTGCAAGAACTAAAATCAATGGAATATTGTGAAATATTTCGTATGAACACGTGAGGGGACTGTCACTCACTGGTAAACAATGGCACACTGGCTGGGAAGGGAGGACGACGCGGCTCAGAGCCGTGAGTACGCGTCCAGGACGAAAGATGATTAGCGAGTTAGCGGACCATTTTTGCTAATGTTTAGGTGAAATAACGGGACTATTTCCGAAATGGACGACTTTCAGGGCGGGCGATTATTGAGGGACCACTGTACTTCCCATCTCCAGGACTAGTCCGGCCTGCCAGTTTCCCTGAATCCCTTAATGAATGTTACCTTGCTCACACTCCAACAGCACGTCAAGTCATAAAAAACATTCATCTCCATTTGCTCCTATCTAACACACTCACACATTCTTGCTGGAAGTCCAAGCCCATCACACACAAAACCTTCTTTACCCCCTCCCTCCAACCTTTCCTAGGCCAACCTCTACCCCGCCTTCCCTCCACTACAGATTTATACACTCTCGAAGTCATTCTGTTTTGTTCCACCTTCTCAACATGTCCGAACTACCTCAGCAACCCCTTCTCAGCCCTTTGGTAATCTCGCACCTCCTTTTAATTTCCAAACTACAAATTCTCTGCATTTTATTCACACCACACATTGCCCTCAAACGTGACGTCTCCACTGCGTCTAGCTTTCTCCCTGTTGCAACATTCACCACACGTGTTTCACACCTATATAAGAGCGTTGGTATAACTATTTATATTCATATACACCTACCATCCGACTTACGACCGAGTTCGGTTCCGAGAAACCGGTCGTAAGTCGAAATGGTCGTAAGTCGAACTTTACTACTGAATATCAAAATAACATTTTTGTAATGACTATATTATTGTTTTATTTTGGTATTTCATGTTTTACTTTACTTTTTATGCTGTTAGTACTGTATTTTATACTGTAAGGTTTAGGATAAACACTGTGTACAACACAAACACTTGTTTATTTCCCAGAAATTTGGCATAAAAAAGCACGGTCGTAAGTAGAGTCGTCGTAAGTCGAGCAGGTCGTAAGTCGGATGGTAGGTGTAGTTTATTTGGACATGATACATAGTTGTACAAGGAATTATAGTAGTTGGGTGTACATGCCAAAAGCCCCTTGTATGCAGAGCATTATGGGCAGGCTTAAAATTAACCAGCAGTGAAAAGTTCAGTGGTAAAAATTACCATAAACCATTTACAATATGAAGTACAATTGAGTATTTGAAACAAAGAAATTTGAGCATTTCAATATTGAAGCATTATTGTTGTATAAATTTGTTGCATTACAATGTATAACAAACAAGATGATCAATTTACTGTATGTTGTCTTGAAGTTTTAAGATTTAAGTAATTGGGAGAATTATTGGTAATGTTAAATATTGAGTGTTGATTATTTAGTCCTTAGCGAGTAAGTGGTTTTTTTTAGAAGAGTCTAAAATTGACTTTCAGGCCTGGTTACTTTAGTATGTTCTGGTAATGAATTCCAGATTTTGGGGCCCTTTATGTGCATAGTTTTTACACAGTGTGATATGGACACGGGGTGCATCAAAAAGAGATATGTGTCTTGTGTTATGGTCGTGTGCCCTGTTAAGGTTGGCAAGAAGTTTGAGTGCATTGTTCTATGTATGTAGTAGGCACATGAATAAGTGTGGATGTTCTTTATGGTGAGCAAATTTAGACTTTTGAATATTGGTGGAGTATGCTGTCACATTATATTTTCTTATCAAAATATTAAGATTAATTTTCTGATTGTTTTAAGCCCCCCAAAATTTTTTTGCGATCGGTACTTACCGAGATATAAAAGAGTAAATTTGGCAGAAAATGAGCCACAGTGGCGAATGCCGCTTGCCCGGTAAACTTTGGTTTACTTCCATTCAAAGGTTTCTGGGCACCTCTGCAAAAACAGTGATTATGTGTGAGTGAGGTGAAAGTGTTGAATGATGATGAAAGTATTTTCTTTTTGGGATTTTCTTTCTCTTTGGGTCACCCTGCCTCGGTGGGAGACGGCCGACTTGTTGAAAAAAAAAAATATGTATATATATATATATAATATATATATATATATAATATATAAAATCACTGGACACTTTCCTGGAACTGCTGCATCTTGTGGAATTCTTTGAAATGTGGGTGTATGTACAATGGTGCTTTACACTCCTCGCACATAAAACAAGTGTGTGCGCATTTCTGTGGGCGCTTTTTTGTATGTACACAAACAAAACACCTCTTGAGCAGTTTTCTTCAAAGTATAGCAGGCAGTTGTCAGGTAGTTATCCTAGGTAAATGGTCATGTGTCATCATTCCTTCCTTCCTACCTACCTACCTACCTACCTACCTATCTTTCTTTCTTCATTCTTTCCTCCCTCCCTCCCTTCTGGTTTCTATAATATATATACACATACAGTGGACCCTCAACCAATGGCATTAATCCGTTCCAGAGAGCTAGCCGTTAGTCAAATTAATTTTCCCCATAAGAAATAATGGAAATCCAGTTATTCCGTGTCAGACAGCCAAAAGTATAACAAAAGATGTTTTTTTTAAAGATTAAATATTAATATAAATACAGAAAACAATGACAAATATAAAGTACGTACTAATAAAATGGATAAATGAGCATTTAACATCACACTTACCTTTACAGTGGACCCCCGACATTCGATGGCATCGACATTCGATGCATTTTAACGCAAAAATTTCGCCTCGACATTCGATCGAAATCCCGCTATTCGATACGATTCGTACGAGACGTGTCCACGTGTGGCCTGAACTGCCCCGTGTGTGCCAGTGTTTACTAGCCAGCCAGTGTGCACGCATCTAAGGATACATTCGGTACATTCCATATTATCACTGTTTTTTTTTTTTTTTTTTTTTTTATCACACCGGCCGATTCCCACCAAGGCAGGGTGGCCCGAAAAAGAAAAACTTTCACCATCATTCACTCCATCACTGTCTTGCCAGAAGGGTGCTTTACACTACAGTTTTTAAACTGCAACATTAACACCTCTCCTTCAGAGTGGAGGCACTGTACTTCCCATCTCCAGGACTCGAGTCCGGCCTGCCGGTTTCCCTGAACCCCTTCATAAATGTTACTTTGCTCACACTCCAACAGCACGTCAAGTATTAAAAACCATTTGTCTCCATTCACTCCTATCAAACACGCTCACGCATGCCTGCTGGAAGTCCAAGCCCCTCGCACACAAAACCTCCCTTACCTCCTCCCTCCAACCTTTCCTAGGCCGACCGGTTGGAGGGAGGGGGTAAGGGAGGTTTTGTGTGTGAGGGGCTTGGACTTCCAGCAGGCATGCGTGAGCGTGTTTGATTGGAGTGAATGGAGACAAATGGTTTTTAATACTTGACGTGCTGTTGGAGTGTGAGCAAAGTAACATTTATGAAGGGGTTCAGGGAAACCGGCAGGCCGGACTTGAGTCCTGGAGATGGGAAGTACAGTGCCTGCACTCTGAAGGAGGGGTGTTAATGGTGCTTGTTTCTGGAAAATAAGTAACCATGGGCCCCAAGAAAGCTTCTAGTGCCAACCCTTCGAGAAAAAAGGTGCTAATTACTATTGAAATGAAAGATAATTGCATAGTACAAAAGTGGAGTGTGTGTGTGTCGGAGCTGGCCAGGTTGTATAGTAAACCCCAGTCAACCGTCTCTACTATAGTGAGCAGGAAAATGGCAATCAAGGAAGCTGTTGTTGCAAAAGGTGCAACTTTGTTTTCGAAACAGAGATCGCTAGTGTTAGAAGATGTTGCGAGACTGTTATTGATGTTGATAAATGAAAAACAGATAGCAGGAGATAGCATCTCCCAAGCGATCATTTGTGAAAAGGCTAGGCAGTTGCTTCGGAGGAGGGGAGAGAGAAATTGAAGAAGTTGCCTACTTCAAAGATTAAGGAAATGTGTACAAAGTGGCTTGAAGTGCAAACCTTTTTTGATGAAAATCACCCTGACACAGCTACTGCAAGCCGTGCTGGTGACTATTACACTGACAATGTTGTGAACCACTTTAGGAAAGTCATAAAGGAACGAGAGATAAAGGCCTCTATGGACAGATATTTTGTGCGAGAGAAGTCCAGTGACTCTGAAGCTGGTCCTAGTGGCATTAAAAGAAGGGAAGTAACCCAGGAAAAAGACTTGATACCTCAAGTCCTTATAGAAGGGGATTCCCCTTCTAAACACTAACACCATCCACACACTCCTCTCCTCCCATCCCATCAGTCATCACCAGATCTTCATTAGAGGTAAGTGTCAATTATTCTATTGTTATTGTTGTTATTGTAATTATTCTATTGCATTAACCCTTTGACTGTTTCAGGCCCCTCTCTGAAACTGTCATTCTATGTCGCCAAATATTCAAAAAAAAAAAAAATTATTTTTTCTTATGAAAATGTTAAGATTATTTTTCTGATGTTGTCAAAAAAAATTTTGCAATTGTACTTACCGAATTAAGTCGGGATTTGCGAAATGAGCTCCGTATGACGATAAACAGCGGGACTGCCGCTCCACTGTAACTTTAGTTTACTTGTATTTGAAGTTTGTTGTTTTTTTCACTATTTATTTTTTCACAAACTTATGGGCCTATGAGACCAAAGTAAGGTGCAATGTTATATATACACTCGTATATACAACACAATACACATCAAACATAATTATCAATATATGTTTACAAACTTGTTACACAAACAACAAACAATTTCTCTCTTCTTCTTCTTCTCTTTTCGTCTTCTTCTTCTCTTCTTAACTGATTCTTCTTCTTACTTATTTTCTTCTTCTTTCATTTTCTTCTTCTTCTTTTCTTCTTCTTCTTCTTAACTTTTCTCATCTTCTTTTTACTCTTGTCTACTTCTACTTCTTCTTTTCATCTCTTCACTTCATTCTTCTTCCTATTTTCTCTTACTTCTCTTCTTCTTCTTCTTGTTTTTTCTTTTCTATTCTTCTTCTTCTTCTTCTTCTTTTCTTTCTTCTCTTCTCTTCTTCTTATTCTTCTTCTTGGGATATTCTTCTTCTTCTTCTTCTTGCTTCTTCTTTTCTTCTTCTTTTCTTACTCGTTCTTCTTAAAATCTCTTCGTCTAGCTCTTTCCATCCCTTTCTTTCCTTCTCAACCTCCTCCTCCTCCTCCTCTCAAAGACTCCTCTCTCCTCCCTCCTCCTTTTTTGCCCTCCTCTCCTTGTTGCGAGTACGTGGCTTTAATTGTTTTGAAAAGAAAGTGCAGCTGTCAAAGTGACATATTATCTATAGTCATACCTACCTGTAGAAACAATGGGTGGATGCTGCTTCCATCCTGCCATTCTATCTAATGATCTTTCCCCTCATCTAATCTTTCAATCTGTCCATCGTTCTGTCTGCCTATTTGTTCACAGGTACCACATCACACTTATAACATAGTGTAATTACCTGATAATTCAGAAATCCAGACAAAGTGCTATACATTCTTGAAATGTGTAAACGTGATGAACATTTTGTGTTTCTTAACAGAAGCTAGATGGACAGACAGGGGTTGACAGACGACAAATAGAACAAATGTTTGTGTACCAGCAAAAACAAAGGAGCGATGGTCATTGTAATATTACCTCTGTTAATCGCTCATCAAAGTAGCTCTACAGATGTACTCCTATCATTTCACTGATGGGGTGGACCTTTTTTTTTTCTGCTTCATGGACAATTATTACTCTTCTTTTCCTTCTCCTCTTTTCTCCTCTCCTCCTCTTCCTTTCCCTTCCTCCTCTTCCTCCCCTCCGCCCGTCCTCTCCACCATTGCTTATTGGTGCCCCTACAAACTCCTCCAAATCATGAAATTGACTTCACTGACACTTCCATCTGTGTAAGCATCACTTGGAAGAGAGAGTCCCAGATTTGCTGGGGAATCACATATTTCTACACTAGAATGCTGAAAAATGCAACTGAATGGTCCCAGCAATACACACTGGCATACACGATTTTTTTATGTGCACACGACCATGGAACCCACATATCCCTCCACATGGGCCTAGCAGTTTCTCCCTTATTTGAAGCTCTAGATTTATGCGTATAAATACGTCAGGAACATTTGTACGTATTTTACCAGGACTCAAGGGAACTTATTATGAAAATAACCGGGTTTCCTTCGAATCCCTTCACATAAATTATTTACCCTGCTACACTCCAACAGATCGTCAGGTCCCAAGTACCATTCGTCCCTCATTCACTCCTATCTACACGCTCACGCACGCTTGCTGGAAGTCCAAGCCCCTTACCCACAAAACCTCCTTTACCCCCTCTCTCCAACCTTTCGAGGACGACCCCTACCCCGCCTTCCTTCCCCTATAGATTTATATGCTTTCCATTCATTCAACTTGATCCATTCTCTCTAAATGACCAAAACCCCCCCTCAACCAAACCCCTCTTCTGCCCCTCTGACTAATACTTTTATTAACTCCACACCTCTCCTAATTTCCACACCCGAAATTTTCTGCATAATATTTATCACACACATTGCCCTTAAGCAGACATCTCCACTGCCTCCAACGTCTCCTCGCTGCGCATTTACACCCAAGCTTCACACCATATAGGTGTTGGTACTACTTTTACTTTCTACATCCTTCTTTGCCTCCATAGATACGTTTTTTGCTCCACATATACCTAACGCACCACTCCCCTTTTTTTTCCCTCTCAATTCTATGATTAACCTATCCTTCATAAATCCATCCGCCGACACGTCAACTCCCAAGTATCTGAAAACATTCACTTCTTCCAAAACTCCTCCTCCCCAATTTGATATCCAATTTTTCTTTATCTAAATCATTTGACACCCTCTAAACCTTACTTTTTCTATGTTCACTTTCAACTTTCTCCCTTTTACACACATTCCCCAAACTCATCCACTAACCTTTGCAATTTTCCTTAGAAATCTCCCATAAGCACAGTATCATCAGCAAAAAGTAAACTGTGTCAATTCCCATTTGAATTTGAATCCCCATAATTTAATCCCACCCCTCTCCCGAACACCCCCAGCATTTACTTCCTTTACAACCCCATCTATAAATATATTAAACAACCATGGTGACATTACACATCCCTGTCTAAGACCTACCCTTTTACCGGAAGTATTCTCCCTCTCTTCTACAACCCTAACCTGAGCCTCACTATCCTCATAAAAAACTCTTTACAGCATTTAATAACTTACCACCTATTCCATATAAATTGCAACATCTGCCACATTGCTCCTCTATCCACTCTATCATATGCCTTTTCTAAATCCATAAATGCAATAAAAACTTCCTATCTTTATCTAAATACTGTTCACATATATGCTTCAAGTAAACACCTGATCTAACATCCCCCACCCACTCTAAAACCTCCTTGCTCATCCGCAAAACCTACATTCTGTCCTTTCCTCTAATTCTTTCAATTATAACCCTACCGTACACTTTTCCTGGTATACTCAGTAAGCTTATTCCTCTATAATTTTTACAGTCTCTTTTGTCCCCTTTCCCCTTTTTAATAAAGGGATATACATGCTCTCTGCCAATCCTAGGTACCTTCCCTCTTTCTACATTTATTAAGCAAAAGTACCAACCACTCCAACACTATATCCCCCCCGCTTTTTAAAATTTCTGTCATGATCCCATCAGTTCCAGCTGCTTACCCCCTTTCATTTTACGTAAATGCCTCACGTACCTCCCCCACACTTACATTCTGCTCTTCTTCACTCCTAAAAGATGGTATACCTCCCTGACCAGTGCATGAAATTAATGCCTCTGTTTCTTCCTAACATTTAAAGTTCCCCAAAATTTCCGCCATCTACCCCAAAACCCCCATTTTTCCCCCAAAATCTCTCTCTCTCCTCACACTCTCTCTTCCCGGGTGCATACACGCTTTTTTAAACCATTTTTTCACATCCAATTTTATTTTACTCCACAAAATTTCCTTGAATTAAATACATTTATAGTCCCTCTTTTCCTGCCATAGCTTATCCTTCAACATTTTGCTACCCTTCTTTAGCTCAAAACTCTATTTGAAACCCTGACCTAATCCCTTTTATTCCTCTCCACTGAAACTCTCCCACCCCCTTCATCTTTGTTTCCTTAAAGCCAGGCATCCAGCTTCTTCTCTTCATAACATCTAAATCATCTCTTCTTATCATCTGCACAACATCCACGCACATTCAGACTTCCCATTTTTGACAAAATTTTCTTTTCTTATTCTTTTTAGTAACTTACAGGAAAAGGGGTTACTACCCCATTGTTCCCGGCATTTTAGTTGACTTTTACAACACGCATGGCTTACGGAGGAAAGATTTTATTCCAACTTCCCCATGGATATAAAAGGAAAATTAATAAGACCAAGAACTATTAAGATAAAATCAAAGAAAACTCAGATAAGTGTGTATAAATAAATGTGTACATGTATGTGTAGTGTGACCTAAGTGTAAGTAGAAGTAGCAAGACATGCCTGTAATCTTGCATATTTATGAGACAGACAAAAGACATCAGCAATCCTACCATCATGTAAAACAATCACAGGCTTCGTTTTACACTCACTTGGCAGGACGGTAGTACCTCCCTGGGTGGTTGCTGTCTACCAACCTACTACCTATATTTATACTTAATATATTTACTTTTATGCTTACACTTTTATATTTACACTTACCTTGGAGATGTTAGTTTAATTAGTTTGATGGAGGAGATGCTGGCAGAGGTTTTGGGTAGTGGAAGATAGGCTGTCATATGTTCAGCGGATGTATACACATCCAACAACATTGGAAAGTTACTTTCATGTCGTTTTTCTATCGCTTACTCGCTTAACTTACTTGCTACACTGTTAATTCTACACTTTATCGCTGGCTGGCACTATAGCCATTATCGATACCTGCTGCTTTAGTATCGTACATATCGTAGAATCACTATCACTGCAGAAGGCACATTCTCCCCTCTCTCTTCCTCCTCCACTTTGGTACTTTGCTACAAGTTTTTTCTTGAACTTTATTGTGTTTCTTTCCTTCTTTATCACAGGGCTGGCACTAGAAACTTTCTTTGGGTCCATGGTGGCTTATTTAGCGGTTACAAGCACTTAAAAAACTCGAATAATACAAAATGTATCGCAGGTACACTTGGAATCAACCGAAACGACTTGTAAATACTGGCACACTGGCTGTTCATGGAGTCTTGGAGTGGCTGGGCCTGCTCAGGCCGTGCTCCGGCCCCATGGACAAGTTCAGGACGAACATCGTTAGATGAGTTTTTCGCCATTGGTAGAGCCATATTTTTTAAGCCAAAGAGTGCCGTTAGACGAATTTGCGGTTACTTGATGCTCCCGTTAGTTGAGGGTCCACTGTATATAGTCACTGGACACTTTCATAGAACTATTATCTTCTGGAAGTGTGTGTGTACTCAATTTTACTCGCTTAATTGTGGCTGCCGGGGTTGAGACTTAGCTCCTGGCCCTGCCTCTTCACTGTGTGCTCCATGAGCTTTATCATACCTCGTCTTAAAACTATGTATAGTTCCTCCCTCCACTATGTCGCTTACCAGACTATTCCACTTCCTAACAACTCTATGACTAAAGAAATACTTCCTAACATCCCTTTGACTCATCTGAGTCTTCAGCTTCCAATTGTGACCCCTTGTTTCTGTGTCCCATCTCTGGAACGTCCTGTCTCTGTCCACCTTGTCTATTCCATGCAGTATTTTATATGTCATTATCATATCTCCCCTGACCCTCCTGTCCTCCAGTGTCGTCAGACCGATTTCCCTTAACCTTTCTTCATAGGACATTCCCCTTAGCTCTGGAACTAGCCTTGTTGCAATTCTTTGCACTTACTCTAATTTCTTGACGTGTTTCACCAGGTGTGGGTTCCAAACTGGTGCTGTGTACTCCAGTATGGGCCTGACGTACACAGTGTATAAAGTCTTGAATGATTCCTTACTGAGGTACCAGAACACTATTCTCAGTGGTGCATTCCCACAATGCACCACTGGCTCCCCAATTTTTTTTTGTAGTGCATGCACTGACCATAGAGACCCATTCTTTCATTTGTGGGCCTACTAGCTTTCTCCTGCTTGATTTGAAGCCGCTAGAATTTTGAAGTTTTAATGCGTCGAACATGTTGGCTCGTAAGATGTATATATACGAGCAAAACAGTCAAAGGGTTAAATAAACATTTAAAGTAACGTTTACTTACCTTTTATTGAAGACTGTTGCTGGCATCTGGAAGATAGGGAGGAGTGAGGGAGCACTTATTGTTTGGAAGGGGAATCCCCTTCCATAAAGACTTTAGGTAACAATTCCTTATCTGAGGCTACTTCCCTTCTTTGTCATTTAATGCCAGTAGGACCAGCTTGAGTCACTGGACCCTTGTCGCACAAAATAACTGTCCAGAGTCCTCAGTTTCTGGCGCCTCTTTAGCATTTCCCAAAAATGGGACATGGTTCTGTCACTGAACTTGTTGCAGAGATGGCTTGTTTCAGCTTGCTCAGGGTGGTATTTTTCCACAAAACTGCAACCTGTTCCACATTCCACACGTGTCCCTAATCACTGAAGAAGGCACCTCCTCCACTCCCTCTTCCTCCTCCTCTGAAGCCAGTTCCTGCAGCTCTTCAGTGGTTAGCTCTTCCCTG